AACTCTTTAAACGTCAAAATTGATCATTAGATTTTTTATGACACAACAGTGGTGAGTGTTCCCACCTTCTGCTCTTTGTAACTTAACGCGATCTTTCCGTTTTCGAGTTTTGGACATGATTTTGGAGTATATCTTCGCAGTAGCGATTGACCGCAAAGTAAAGCTACCGGAAATGTACAACCATACATCCAGTCTCAAACCAGGAAGTTAGCATTTTCTCGTGCACAGGGTCAATGCCTGTTTGGATTTCCCTAAATCTTCCCTGATAAATATCCTCCATATAACTCATACTAACCAAGGAAACTAAAATTAAATATTTTCAAACTACAGAAACTAAAATGAAACTAATAAAGCCACTCTGGAAAGTAACTGAAAGGGAACTGAATTAAAAACAAATACAAAACTATATCGCTAACTCTCATGCAGACAAAAACGTTACCAGGCAACTTTCAGGTGCTTGGAGTTACAAATTTTACATCATCCAGCAACAAAACACAAAGCAGCATTCACAGCACATTTAAAAAGATCTTTAAAGAGAAGCAAGCTTCCCTGCATGCAGTTTTCCTACCTGAATTTCGTCACATTTTATTAGCTTTTCCACTTCTGTCTGGCTCAGCAGCATGAACTCCTCATGCTGAACCACCTCGGAGAAATGCTTCTGGGAGAAGAGCTCAGCGGCCTGCATCAGGTCAAGGCAGTTGTGCGTCTCTGCAAAGTCTCGAATGCCCAGACAGTTGGAAGGATCGAGTTGGCTCTCCAAAAAATCACAACACGCTCTTTTCACCCCTAGGGAAGAGGGAGATAGGTTTGTACACACATGCACCATTTGTAGCCTTAACTCTTTCAAAAACCAGCATGTAATTCTCTCTTAATTTGGAAACGCAGAAAGCATTTTAATGGAATAGTACCACTGTTTAATAAACATTTCACTATCACACCAACCAAATTAGAAAGTAGAATTTTAAATTGATGATTAAGCCTAAAAATAATTATTACATCACATTTTCTGCGGTTCCCAGCAGACTATAATAATTCTGGATGATATGATTAATATTACAAACAGACTCATGCACTCTACAAAAATATATTTTTGCAACATTCGCTGTCATTTTTTTTGTTTTACCCCATATAATCTTATTTTATATAAGATTATATGGGGTCCACTAAGATGAGCTGGATGAGGCGGCCAGGGAGCGGGAGGTCTGGGCTCTCCTGCCCACTCATCCTGGCAGAAGATGGATGGATGCATGGATTTTTCCAGGTGCCATACAAGGTATGAATACTGAATACAACACTGGATGACTGATAGATTACACTGCCGTAACTGGGGTTCAAATTAAGCCCTTACGTTGTTGCATGAATGGACTGGGGAATTAAAGATGATCCATTTAAATCTGTAACTGGATGAATTTCCCAGTTACTAACGTTTGCGAAAGTGACTTATTTCAACAAGCCTGCTTACTAAAACTCCAAAATCCAACATTACAACAACCCAGTTTATTCTACTGGGTAGACACATAAACTGACCTAAATCATGCTAAAACTAATACATTACTGCCTGCAAGAGGAAACAATTCAAACCTTGTAATACCTGGTAAAATTTATTTTTGAGGACACTGAATAAGACATTTCAAGATCTGGGGTTACAGTCATGAGAAAAGATGGCTTAAGCAAACTCTTTAATCATTATGTTTATATTCTTTAATCATAACACTGCACTTTAATCAACATGAACACTGTAAATATGCCACATTTACCCATACACACTAATTCGTATCAGCAGACTGTGGTAAACAGACATAATTATATTATGTTATATTAACATGTTAAACAACGTTATAAAAGCTCAAAACACAGAAGCTTCTGAAGACAATGTCAAAACCAGAGACAATTATTAGAAACTTTTTAAATCAAGGTACAGCTCTGAACTTACCTTTGAGCTGTAGCAAACACGCTGCAGGGAGCAGCTCTTGTACGTTCTCCACCGTGACAAGCACAGTCTCTGTATAGACAAAGTCCAACAAGATCTCCATAGTGGATGCCGTGAGCCCCTGAATGTCGACAAAAGATTTCCCCTTTTCTGCAAGCTACAGAGCCACAAGAACACATTTATTTGAAGGATTACTTTTGAGAATCATCCTGCATTTTAGGCAAATGTAACACCACCTTAAGACACCCAGAAAGGCCAACAAAGAAAAAAAAACAGCATAAAAGAGTGCATCAGGAATGTAACTGGGACATCTATTTTTCAAACATTATTACCTCGCTAGTGAACATGGCACAAAAATAGTCACTGCAGGCAGCCAAGACAATCCGGTGAGCTGGAAAATCAGTGTTCTCCACCCTCAGAGTGATGTCGCAGAGTGTGTTGCTCTTGCGAAGTGAGTTCATTGCATTGAGGATAGATTTGGCATGGGAATTGGTCATGATGTCTTTGGGAGCCATGCTGCTTTGAGAATCCCTTACGGATCTCAAACTACTAAATGAATCTGGAAAAAAGACAGTCTATTTTGAAAACATCCTTTGGGAAGAAAGGTATTCCACAGTAAGCATAAAAGCACGCCACAAGGACACATTTTTATATATTGTACAAGCAAGTCATGCAGCTAGTCAGTGTGTGTGTCTGTCAGTAATTTGTCAGTTGGGTTGAACTGCTGGCTATTCACAAGATAAGTTTGTGACACTTTGTGGGAAATGATAACAGATTCACTATTTTACACCCTTTTTACAACATTTTATAAAAAACAAACAAACAAAAAACCCCAACTGCTAATGAAAATGTACATGAAAAAAAAACCCATTTTATACTAACTTTTACATTATATAATACTTTCTTAATATATATACTTTGTATTGTGTATTATTTCTACAATGTTTGTTCTTGACAAGGACAAGAAATAGCATAATTTATTCTGCTTATAGGACAGCAATGGAGAGAAAATACTGACTATCATAGAAGCACTATAGTATTTATAGTGCTGCATTTGCCTGACTTCTGGATTTATTTCTTGCAAACAATTACTTGATTTATTAAGGGGGGGGGGGGGGGGGGGGGGGGGCTATCCAATTCTACCTGGCCCTGTGTAAAAACGGAATTGTTACCCTTTTTAAATCATGAATTAACTCCAATTAACCAAATTTTTTGGAAATCTGAGTTCAATTTCACTTGCCACACTTTGGTCTGATTACTGCCACACCTACTGAATCAAGAAATTACAAGAGTAACCTGCCTGACAAAGTAAAGTAGGCCAAAAGGCCTCAAAAACCATCATATTATGACATGATCAAAACAGTCACTAACGTCCATTTCTAAGGCTTTGGGACTCCAGTGAACCACGGTGAGAGCCACTAACCACAAAGGAAGAAAACTTGGAACAGTGGTGAACATTCACCAGAGTGGAGTAATTTTGGTAAGCTGGCCAAAAGCCCATCCATGACTGATCCAGGAGGTCTTAGGCATGTCTCACATTTGCCAAAGAACATCTAAATAAACCCCAGAACTTTTGAAATAAATAAATAAATAAACACTCTAAAAATACACTAAAGTTGAACCTTTGGAAGGTTTGTGTCCTGTTACATCTGATGTAAGACTAACACAGCATTTCACAAAAAGAACATCATGCCAACAATGAAAAACGGTGGTGGTAGTGTGATGGTCTAGGGCTTTTTGCTGTAATTCATAGAACAATGAATTCTGCTCTCTACCAGAAAATCCTGAAGAACAATGTGAAGTCATCAGTTTGTCCCATGGAGCTCAAGCATAATTAACATGAGTTACGCAGCAGGATCTGAAACACATAAACAAGTCTGCCTCTTAACGGCTCAAAAAAATAAGATTTTGGACCAGCCTACTAAAATTTTGGACTGAAACCAGATTAAGATGCTTTGGCATGATCTTAAACTGGTCGCTCATACTTGACAACCTTCTTATGTGGTTGTATTAAAATCATTCTGCAAAGAAGAGTGGGACAGATTTTCTCCACATGTGAAAGACTCATTCCCAGTTATCACAAAGACTTCATTGCGGTTCATCCTTCCAAGGGTGGTGTAACAAGTTATCAAGGTTGTAGAGGGCAATTACTTTTGTCCACACAGGGCCGGCTAGGTTTGGATATCTTTACGCCATGAATAAATTAAATCATCATTTAAAACTGTCCTTTGTATTACCTCAGATTATATTTGCCTCATTTTAAAAGTTCTTTGAAGATTTCAAAAGTGAAAAAAATAACTCAGAAAGGGGGCAAATACTTTTCTCATCACTCTACTTCTTGTAGAAAGGCTTAAATGATCAGTTATTTCTATGAATAAAAAAACCATATTTAATAACGCTAGTCAAATAAGAGCAATGTGTGTTTTTTTCTTTCCAGACTTTACATTTTTGGAATATTTTTCCACTACAGTCTTGCAAATACAACTTACCGTTAAAAGATCGGAATACTTTTTCCACCACTGGGAGGCAATAACTATAGCTACACATTAGCTAGCAGCAGCCAACGACAGCTGACGGCTAACGCCAACGCTAACAATAACAACTACGAAAACACAGCAATATAAAGTGAGCTGACGGCCAGAAGAAGACAACACATGGAGCGACACACACACACACAAAACAACTTGTAATAATACCTGTCGCAGCAGTAAAAACGTCTAGCTAAGTTGCTCAGCTAGCTAACGTTAGTAGCACCAAAGTCTCCCTGTCCCAGTTCTTTGCTCCCAGTCGTACTGCCTTTAGCAAAGCCCCTCAACTACAGCTACTCCATGACGACCTCTGCCGGGTCACTCTATGCACCGTGAGGACACATATATCGGAACGGCATCATATTAAATCCCGATGGGATTTTTATCCAGCTATAATATCCCGTTGACTAAACTGCAGCAGGTCACAGTAGCAGCAGCAGAGTAGCGACTCCACAGATTGGACGTAAACAGACCATTACGTGAGTGTACGTGCGCGTTCCCCGAGGAGACCGCCCAGACGCGTTTCGCTCCAGAAACAAGATGCCTTCCGCGCATGCCCGCTGGTCGGTCTCAACTGCCGCTGTAGGAATAGTAAAATAGCCGTCTCAAGCAAACAAAGTGTGAAATCCGGATTTGACGGGGGCTTATAAACCCAAAGTGACACACAGAGAAACGCAGGAGGAATTTTATTTCTTAAAAAAATATATTCTGCTCTCTTTTTTTTAGTCACCCAAGGACGGCAGCTACAGCAGGAGGAGGAGTTAGCGGCGTGTTTCCGCTAAGAGCAGGCCGAGACGGTAATCTATGCCGCCGCACTGAGAATTACAAAACAGCGGCAGACCAGTTGCCAGCTACTGCGCGAAATAGTTTGACTGAAATTTGTTTAATCTTCGGGGACTTTTGGTTGTTCGTATCGGGAGGCTAAACAACGAGAGAGTGAGTGGCAGCTGGACTGTCAGCGATGGAAGCTGAATTTCGGGAAATCGATGAAAACGGCAGCTGGAACGCCATTTATCAGGTAAGAGCTCTTGGCAAATTAAGGTGGAAATAATCAGACCGTAGCTGAAGCTGGTTAGGTCAATGTGTAGCTTACGTACAGTGAGGTGGTAGCTATAGTTTCTCTGGCTTTATGAGTGTGTTGGTGTTTAGTTCAGTGCCTGTTCTTCCTGCTCGGAGTTATCCGATGATTGATACGTCTGCTCGGGTATAAAGGCAGCAGCTCAACGCTGACTGACGTCATACTTTTTTGGACGTACTAACTTATTTTTAACGATTTATTCTCAGTTTCGTCCACTATTTCCATTCCGCTGTTAATCGGAGGCTTAAATATAGTTATTATAAATGTTTATAATACATTACATAGGGGTATAACACCTGAAACCGAGTGAAATCACGATACAAACCTCCAAAATATCGTATCGCGGTTTTATCGCTCCCATACCATGATACACATGAGATGTAAAATGCCATAGGTAACAATTCAAATGGAAATGCATCACAATAATGGTAGAAACTTTCCTTTCTGTAAAAACTTTCTAAAGAAGCCACGTTCTAAAAAAGTTTTAGCCTTTCATAAAATAAAATGTAGTAATTTTTGTTGAATGGGGTTTGATTTACTCAAATTTAAATGCATTGTTAAGGGTTTTCAGTGGGGTTAATTTAGAAAAAATACATTACTGACAGAACAAATAACAAAAAAAACAAAAAAAACCCCAACTGAAACCTGCTTTGAGCCAGGAATCCCCCTCTCCCAATATACTATGACATAAAGGATTCATTAGTCTGTTATATGTAACATACAGCTTCTATTTTAATTCTTTAAGACCATATCCTAAAACTTAAAATTAGAAGTACCCCTTTGGAATTTTTTTGTGAACTAGCAAAAGTACTGTTCAAAACATTTACCAACACATTAAATATTTTCTGTACATTGCCTGTACATTGTCTGCCAAACATGTTGAAGGCATTCACTTCCTCATTTATGATATGAAGTGTACTGTTTTTTTTTTCTTTCTTTCTGCGTATAAGAAAATTTGACCTGCTACTCGAACTTCATGTAATCACCCCAAAGGCTCGTTTTGAGCCAGGAAATGCTCTTAATGGAGCTTAATTGTTATTCATAATCCAGTCGTGATCAAACAATCAGACCTGTTGTGGACTTTGGTTTTCTCCCTCGTGTCTTGTTATTCATCCCTGCTGAAGAAAATTGAATAAACTGAAACAGTGGAACGTGAGGTTATGGACTATGATTGGTCAGTGAGTCAAATCTCAATCATCTCTCTATTATTTACAAACATTATGCAGTGGCTGAAGTTAAAACCGTGTTGTTGTTGTTTTTTCACATGGAATCTTCTTTAACTGTTACATAATTCAAATAAAATAGAAAAAAAAATCCAGTAGGCAGGGCTTTGGATTATAAAGCCAGACCAGGTGATGGTCCCTACAAGCCCATAGCTTCCATAACGGGATGTTTGTGGGTCCAGATGGGCGAAAGGCTGTAATAGCCTTCTTGGGAAACCGTTAACGCAGCCTAAGGTGATCCACAGAGAGCTGAAGCTGACAGCAAACTGTTCAGCATTGCCAAAAGCAGATAGGGTGACAGGCCCTAAGTGATCTAAAGTTGGAAACGGCTGCAGTCAACCATTAAAAATCCTTCCACAGGTTCCCCTACCTATGCCTTGAAACTTTTTCTCTCACTCTTTAGCTCTCTTGCAGTTATACTGCCTGCAGCTGAACTAAACAGCGTGTTTAAACATTTTAGGAAGAGGTGAAAGCAGAAGAGGTGGGCTTGGAACATATATATCATAAAACAATAAAAACAATGAAAATGAATGTTGTTTCTTGTTTTCATAATAGTTGGAAATGAGAATTGACATTTAAATTAAAATTTCATTAGCCACCCTAAGAAAGGGTAGTCTAAATACAAGCTTTTGACAGTGTTCGTATTGAGGCAAATATAATCCTGATTATTATTGAAATAGCTAGAGGAAATTGTAAAAGGGTCATCAGCGAATGTCATCATTATTTGTTTGTTTGTCTTAAAGAATACAGCAGTCACACTCAGAGCTTTTTAATGTGGAGTGGATGTTTCTTTTGTTTTTTTTAAACAAAACAGAAAAAAAAAACCCTGCGAAAACACCAAAACTCTGCTTTAATGCTTGTTTTCCTCCTTTTATTCTGTTACAGGAGATTCGGCAGCAGTCGAGTGAATTTCCTTGTAAGGTTGCCAAATCACCTGAAAACAAGACTCGGAATCGATACAGAGACGTTAGCCCGTGTAAGTTTGTCTTTGCTTGCCTCAGTGTGCTGGACTGCAGAGTCTGAAATACTTAAATATTCCCACAACTCTCAAGGTGTTGTAGCCACTAAAATTACATTTAGGACCTCATTATATACTCATATACTGGTTTCATTTATCTAGGGCAGATATTTGAAAATGTTTTCATGTAATTAACTAGGGTTTTCAGTGATTTTAAGCATCACGGTTATGCCAGGTATTTATACCAAACCTGCTGTAAAAGGGATACATTACCTAAAACTTCACCTGCCTCTTAAAGCTAGCACCATGCAGACAGAGGTTGGTCACAGGGATACAGTATTTGGGTAACTGCAGTAGAAACGTTGTCTAAATGCCCCTGAAAGTAGCAGATTTGTTTGTGTCCTGCCTAACAGCTCTGGTTGCTCAGTTATCAAACCACATGTGCTTCAGGATATCTCTGAATCTTGCTCTGCCTCTGTGAACTGTGGTTCATTGCAAAACATTAAAGTGAGTAAGTAGAAGTGGAAAATTACAATAAAATCAAACACTGTTATGTTTTAAAAAACAACATGCTCACATTTTCACACAGCTTTCTACTATCTTTGCCACACCAAAGGGGTTATTCGTGTAAGAAACTATGAAAAGTTGTGGACTGGCAAATGTCATGTCATGGTAGGAACCTTTTTCTGATTCAAAATATCACAAAGGCACATATAAATATACAGCTGGGGTGATAATGCAACCTCATTTGAATACTTGAAGGTTAAGTGAATGCCACTGTGGGTCTCTTTGCTTGGTACTCTACCCGCAGTGTTGAAGGGTCTATAATCTCCTATTTATGTTTAAACATCTGTGGTGAAGTCACAGCATTATGCAGCATTATATAAATACCTAAGCTGGCTGGAGTTTCAGTAGGTACAAGAACTGTAATATCAGTTTGAAGTTAAGTGAAGGTAGTGTTGCGCAATAGAAACAGCCTTGCATCACTCTGACTGGCGTAGTGTTTCCAGCTAATTTATTACTGAGTGTCTCAAAAACAGCTACACAGGGTAAGATCAGGGAAAGGGGAAATTAAGTTGTTTTTTTTTCCCAGCAATGCTTTTAGTATCATTTATTTTTTAAGCGTTGAAATAAATGGTGAAATAAAAAGCAAACACAGAAACAAAAAAGAGAGGAAATAGAGGAAATGCTTATCTTATTAATATTAGAGCAGGGCGATATGGCCAAAAATATTTATCACGATATATATTTGAAAATTTGCGATAACGATATAACCGACGATATAATAATAATAATAATAATAATAATAATAGATACTTTATTGATCCCCATGGGGAAATTACTTGTTTTTCTCTGCATTTGACCCATTCACTCAGTGAAGCAGTGGGCAGCCCACTAAGCAGGCGCCCGGGGAGCAGTGTGTAGGGACGGTACCTTGCTCAGGGGTACCTCAGGGGTACCTCAGGGTAGCCGGTAAGTGGATTCGAACCGCCGACCTTCCGATCATGGGGCGACCACTTTACCTACTGAGCTATCCCTGCCCCCACTGAGCTATCCCTGCCCCCCTATAATTGATGCGAGACAAAATACAACTCCACAACATTACTAGTGCAAAAAGACAACCTTCCATTTATTTTCACATAAACAAGAAGCTGGTTTTTATGTACATTAAAGCTTTATAAAAATTTAACAGTGCAAATGCAAATTCCTTGCTGAAAGTTTAACCAAAAGGCATTTCCAGTAGAAATGGGCTGACATATCCTGAGCATAACCATGTATAATATCCACTGAAGTTAAAAAGAGGTGCTTTGCAACATTAAACTGCAGTGTGCAGTATGCATTTTTCGGACCATAAGGTGCACGGGATTATAAGGCACATTAAGCGAAACAAAGCAGTCAGATAAATCAAACTTTATTAAACTCATTCTTCTTGCTTCCTCCACTTCTGTACCATTGATTCATTAATGTTGAATTCTCTGGCAGCTGCTCTATTCCCATGTTGTTGCAGTATATTAATGACTAACCTCGCATTGTGGATGGATTATCTCAGTTGTTCTCCTGACTGAAGTTTGGTCCGTTTACAGCATCCTGCCATGCGATTGCATTTGTCTCTAACCATGAAGAACCTTCACGTTAACTTTTATAAGTGGAAAAGTGTTAGTGTTCGTCCTCCAGCTTCACTGTTTATGTTATGCTAACATAGCTGTGTCGCTAGCGATCACGTAGCACATCATTATATACCAGCTAGCCCAACTTCAGTAACCCTACAAACATCACTGCTGTTTAGTTTCCTGTCTTCATTTATGTTGGAAGTGATAGCAGAGCTGTACGTTTGATTTTTTTCAGAAATCTCTCAGTTAGAACATGCAATATCATGCTTAGGTAACTAGCGAAACTAGCGAGCTAACTTCCGCTAGCTTCCTGCTAACTTCTAACTCCGTTAAATGTAATAACTTTTGTTTTCATGGATGCCTGGAAGTTAAACTTTATAGTTACACCTGGTAAAGCAGCAATGCTGATCGTTTTATTAAAGATGAAAGAATTTAGACAGTTTTTAACTCTAAGTGATGCTGCAGTGTTGTTTGACCTGAAGTATACGGAGTTTAGGACCCAGATTACTCCCAGATTTAAGAGCATCTTAGTCCGACAAATATGACAATAACAACGGCCGCTTGCATGTTCTGCAAAAAAATGTGCTTTGTTGTGTATCTGACGGACAAACACCAAACCAGTTCCACATCACGGAAGTTGCACCATTTTTACAAACCAATTCTGGTTCATCTGTTTCACTCAACAATTGGCCATGTGCGTATGAAAACAAAGGCACCGCGCATGCGCGTTTTACTCCCATTCTATCGCGATATTTCATTTTCCTATCGTTGCCTAACATTATACCGGTATTACCGTGAACGGTATAATATGGCCCAGCCCTAATTAATATATGGTTATCCATAATCACACAGCTCCTATTTGTTTGTATTTTACATAAAAAGTGAGTGTATATACTGATGCACAATTCATTCATAAATATTAACAGAAATTTTTTTTTTTTTCTGAATTGAGGATATAGCTTAAAAATCTTAAAGGAGCCACTGTTTTTTGTGAGCTTGATTTCATTAGCAGTGTTGCCCTCATTGGGACTTACTGGTGTCTTTGACCAAAATTTTGGTACTGTTACAAGCTGTGTGCTGGATATTGTGCTGTTACTTCAGGATATAAATCTGTGTATCTAAAATATATTCTTACTGGCAGTTTGGTGACCATACACAATGTTAAAGGTGCATGTGGATAAAAGCTGAATTTTGAAGCTTTAAAGTTAGAGTTTTGCCACCATCATAATGCTATGATGATTTTTGGGGAGCCAGAGTTGACCTTATATGGATGAAAGGGTGAAGGGCTGAGGTTACAGGTACAGTTTTTTTTTTTTTTAGCAGAATCAATGAACTGTTAATTAATACAGTAGCAGTAAACACTCACCAAAAAGGAGCACAAACTTTGTGACTAGTTTGTATCACACATTAGTTATTAGTCAAATGATCTCCATTTAAAAAAGCTCAGTGACTGCAGTTAGTGGAGGCGTACATCAGCTACATGTAAATACACTTGTCAATCAATGCAATGACTAAGCTAACTCAATAACTCACTTATCTAAGTGAATGAGTTTCCTCTTTTTTTTTTTTCTACACCAAGTTGTAAATATATATTTTAATGCTGTAAATTTGGGTGTTTTAACAGGGGAGTCTTGTGGGAATTATTTGCTTTTAGAGTCAACCTCAGGTGGTCTCTAGAGGATCTGCAGTTTTTGCCACTTCTTTGTTTTCAGCTCTGGAAGTTTCCCTCTTGCTGCTGACTCAAAGAACACAAAGATACCAATTTTTTTCCAATATGTATTTTTTTGATCATCAATGTCTTTGTTTGTTTGTTTTGTTTTCTTGCTTGTTTGTTTTCATTTTCTATAACAGTTTGGCATTTAAAATGGGTCTAGTGCACTTCCTCTCATGATTATCTTCTCACAGGTCACGCTGACCTCTTCTCAAAATCTTTTTACTGCTGGAGACTTTGCAACAACTGAAAGCCTCATGTCAGCTTCAGCAGATAGTCAGGTTACGATGAACTTTCTACAAACATCCTGAACTAACAGCTGAACACCAGAGTTTCCTCTTTTTCACACTCAATAAGCCATGCAAAATTTTTTTTCTCAGACCAAGTTGCAAATAGTTACCGTAAATACCAACAAGGGTTTTCTTATTCCCCTTTACCAGATATGAAAATGAGGAACCTGAAAGTTTTTTATACTGCTAACCTTTTACCTAAAAGGTTATTTCACTGGAAATCGTAAATAGCTAATCTCACAATAGTAAACATCTTTAGTTTGTATGAAGATGCTTGTTAAGTGTTCCCTACAGCTGTTTTGGTTTGAGAACTGCATTTTTAGTCCCTGGTGGGTTGTGGCATTTTAAAAAAAAAAAAAAAAAAAAAAAAAAAAAAAAAGTTCATATGCATATTTTCATATTTCTTTTTTGTTTTTTCTCTTCTCAGTTGATCACAGCAGAATACGTCTGCAGTTAGGTACAAATGACTACATTAATGCCAGCCTAATAACAGTAGAAGAGGCACGGAGGAACTATATCCTTACTCAGGTAAGTGTAGAAAAGATTCAGCACTGAAAATTCATTATTTCCTCTAATTCAGAGAGACAATGACAGAAAAATCCAAACCTTTAAGTCAGTATTTTCTGATTGTATAAGATAATATAGTTTCCTGGTTGGCCTAATGACCATAATATCTTGTATTTTATAGTTACGCCTTATTTTAGGTCCTTGTCTGCAGCATTTTTAAAATGAATATGAGTTATTAGTTTGTTAGGCACACAGAGCTAAAGACGAGGCCACTCTAATGCAATAACTCAGCATGAAGTCCTCCCTTTATGAAGGTCATAATTCTTAGTTTCTGCTGACACCGTTTTCTTGAGGTTTTTATTTGGCTTTTATGATAAATTTAGAATCCTTTTGTTTGTTGTGCTTTTAAACGATGAAGGGGTTTCTTTTCATTCCACCCTCATTCTAACCTCAGTCGAGGTTTATCATGTTTTATCACTTTTAAGTCATCCTCAGCATCAATGAGTTGACCTTCTGGTTAGAGTGACACTGGGAAAACACTTTGACATTAGGGCTCGTTATACTTGCTGAGATGAAGTCACAATTGCAGGCACAAGTGCTGCTTTGGTCTTCATTCAACTTGTCCTGTGCCTCAGGTTTTTGTTTTTTATCCTGCTGCTGTTGGGTTCAGCCAAGTGGACATGAATATACCATTGTGTTGTTCTGCTGTTTATGTGGCTCCAAGTCAAAGAGGCAGCAATGTCAGCAGACGCTCTTCTGGGCAAAAACTGAGGTATTGCCAACCAAGGGATACAATCTTTAAAAGGTGTCCTGGGTTTGCTGGGGCTTCTTCACCCTGGAGGACCTTCCTGAAACAACTCACCTATGAGGTGCCAGGAGAACTCCTGGTCAGTTGCCTGAGGAGCACTGGCTCTACCCTGAGCCCCTCCTGCATAGCCACTCTCTTTATACTGTCTCTGAGGCTGAGCCCAGACATCCTTTAGAGCTTTGACTTTCTGCCTTTTTGATCTACTACCCACAGGTCGTAACCATAGAGAGAGAAACAAAGCTCATTGAAGATTGATTTAAAAAAAAACCCCCCACATAAAGTTAAATCAGTTGCCAAAAGCATTTAAAATGTCTTTATTCCTTCTCGCACTGAGAAAGCAAAACTTTTAAAGCACTTTGTGAAGCAAATATTGTCAGTTATTTACTAACAATACCAATATATTAAGCTGGTAAATGCTCCACATTTCATAGTGCACACATTGGAAATGGGCAAATGTAAAGACCCAAAGTGTCCAAGTCAAAGCACAGGGCAAAGCTTGGGGATGATCCCTGCTGGTACTAATGCCGGACAGACAATGAACTGGTGACAAGGCAGAAGGAACTGAGCAGGAACTGGGACTGAACTGATCTGCAGCTGGCATCTTTGAGCTGATAATGGAGGGTAGCTTCGGTGGCTTTGGGTCAAAGCTGATTTGGCAACATTCAAAGAAGTGTATTAGACAGGAGTGATCATGTTTCCTCTCCCAGCCATGCAATTACAACAAAACTGTATTACAAGACAGTTTGTTTGCAATACACAGAGCTTATACAATGTTATGTATTTACAAACAGCACTCAAAATTGCGTCTATATTTCCAGGCTATTTTTAGGAGTTTATAATGTAGATTAGATCAGTTTTTGATCCAAAGAAGTTACGCAAAGGATAAACATACTGCAGTCTCCCTCTGTAGGAAATTTCAGGGCAAGAGTGTTTATGCTGAAGACCAAATGTCTTAAAAATAAATGAATAAATAATAATAATCAGATGCCTTGGAAAGCTCTTTAAATAGATACTGTTTTATTGTGTTCTGTTACACTAAAAATATTATTTCCTGCCTTTTATATAACAAATGTGCTGTACTTCCTTTTTAGGGACCCCTACCAAGTACATGTGGCCATTTCTGGGAAATGGTGTGGGAGCAGAGGACCCGTGGTGTAGTGATGCTGAACCGGGTCATAGAGAAAGGCTCTGTAAGCAGCTGTTTGAGTCCTCACAATGTTTTAGTATCGTCATACCTTGTTTACCTTTGAACCTCACTGCTGTCCGTTACCCAGCGTGTAATGTGTACCTTCATGTCATTTTAGATTAAGTGTGCCCAGTACTGGCCAGAGAGAGAGGAGAGAGATGCCATCTTCGAAGACACCAATTTCAAGCTCACCCTTGTCTCTGAAGACATCAAATCTTATTACACCGTCCGTCAGCTGGAGTTGGAAAATCTGTGTGTAAGTTGTCTTCCTGCTGAGTTTGGTTGTAAAACTGTAGGGTTGGGTAAAAATACACCGGTGTAAAGAAAAGGGATGAAGTGAAAATGAGAAAACTTTAAAAAAGTGAAAACTTTGTAAACATAGATTTTAATTTAAAGGAACAATTTTCATACTCAAGATCATTAGTGGAAAAAAAAAGAAAGAAGAAGAAGTCAAGCCTGACGGTGAAGTGGAAATGAAGAATCAGGCCAGAGTTAACAAAAAAACGGCAAATTCACAGGGCTTGTCTTTATATACCCCCTGTAGTGGATTTGATCACTAGATTTACTGTACTAGTTTTTTTTTGTTGTTGTTGTTTTTAGGCAATTGTAGGCGCTATAAATATTTGAAACTGTGAGAAATGGTCTACTTTCTAATGAGCTGCTTTTGCTTTTGCTTCTAGTCCTCTGTTGTTGTTGTTTTTCTCTGTGAGGGTCTTTTACTGTGTAGCCTCTGTTTTTATTTTTCCTCCACTGGTTACTGTTCTGTGTAAGACTCAAGAACTGACAGCAACAAATGACATACACTTCCTTTTTGGCTCTCCAGCGAGTCTCTATTTCACACTTGGTGAAACAGCACTTCATCTTTGATGCTGGCTTAATTGTCACATCTACTAACGTGTGGTGCCAACATGCTAATGATTAAAAGGAGTGTCTGTTTATTCACAGATTAAAAAAAAAAAAAACATGAACGTCATGCTTGTGATAATTTATAAAAGAGGAATTTGCACCACATGGTATTCTACCCTACATCCAGGTTTAGTTTGGAATCAGGACTTTGTTTTGAGTTTTTCATTTCTCCTACATGTTTTCTCTCCAATCTTTCTCTGCAGACTCAAGAGACTCGTGAGATTCTGCATTTTCACTACACGACCTGGCCCGACTTTGGGGTGCCGGAGTCTCCTGCATCTTTCCTCAACTTCCTGTTCAAGGTGCGAGAGTCGGGCTGTCTGAATTCAGACCAGGGACCAGTGGTGGTGCACTGCAGTGCTGGAATTGGGCGCTCTGGGACCTTTTGCCTCGTGGACACCTGCCTCTTGTTGGTGTGTACAAACTCTGTTCTTAGGAAGTTATGATAATAACAAATTTAATCTCCTAGGAGACTGACATTTGCACAGGAAATTAACGCAACCTTTTCTTGAGAAGCTGTAGTGCTAGAACAACACTTGATTTTCAGATGAAATGTGCTAAGATAATGGGAATCCATTAGAACAAATTAGTTGTCTAAGCTGTCTTGTTGGAACACCTGGTTAGAAATTGGACATATGGTTAGGTTGTGTTAAAAAAAAACTATTTAAAGTTGTTAGTTTGCCCAATTACTTTTTTAGATTCTAAAAATGGGAAACTGTATCAAAATGTCTAATTCCTAAAAAGTCAATTTAATAAGAGTATTGCATTAATGTTGAATTAAAGCTGAAAGTTTGAACTTCAGTAATATATTGACTGAAATCCACTGTTGTGCAGAAAAAAAAAGTGTCATTGTCCAAATTCGTGCAGACCTTACTGCAGACCTCACTTTTAGAACCACATCAGCAGCCCAGTTTAATTTTTTTTTTTAATCATTTAAGAAGTTTTATAAAGGTTAGAAGCTTTTTATTCCAGGGAGATGCTGAAAAAACCATCCACGCGTTTATTTCTACCTGGCTGGTTGTACTGAAACTCTGCTCAGAGGAATCTTTGAAAAGAAAGGAGAAAAAAAAATCAGTTACTGAATGCAGCTGTATTTAAAAAAACAAAAATAAATAAATAAAATATAGAACACCTGCACTGAGGTCGTTACATTGGCTTTTAGTTGGTTGAAGAGGTGATTTATTTTTCTTTTTTTCTTCTTTTTTTTTTTTTCAAAGGCCACCCTCAGGTTAAGTATTTCAAGCTGCTAGAACAGCCTGCTGAATCTTATTAGGTGTGCTCCAGTATTAGTATTTATAAACATATTTTCAAAATTCCTGTGTTTACCTGCCTTTCAGTCTAGGTCCTGATCTTGAAATTAGGAGCATTTTGCTTCTATTTATTGTTTTTCTATTGTTTTCAAGTGATTAGTCTTTTAATTTTACAGTTTTTTGTTATTTTAAAGAAGTATATTTTGTTGGTGATAGCTGCTCTTATTTATTCGTGTGCCTAAATCTATTGGCTTAAGTTGTCTTTACAGTTTAGTGGCTGAAACCTCTGGTAGCTCACTCATTGTTCTCAAGTACAAGCACATACAGTTTTGTTTATTTATTTATTTTCTTGCTAGTGTGACAGAAGTCAGTACGCTCTTGCACACCTTACAGAGGACGTCAGAAACGTCTGTATTGAATGTTTTTGCTGCTGTGTGTAGATGTCCCTACGTAAAGACCCGTCTTCAGTTCGTATTCGCGATGTGCTGCTGGAGATGCGACGCTATCGAACGGGCTTGATTCAGACTGCAGATCAGCTTCGGTTCTCCTACCTGGCTATAATTGAAGGTGCCAAGTACATCAAGGGAGATACTTCCGTGCAGGCAAGTCCCTCCTCTCGTTTCTGCTCTGTCCTCTTAATGCACAAATTTTACTTGGTTTGTCTGTTTTTCATTAAATGCTATACCAATATCCACCTTTTATATTTTTATGTTTGGAGGGCTATGAGAGTAACTTTACCTGCTTCAGAATTTAAGTTATTGTTTTATTGTTGTTGTTGTTTTTTAATGTTATACTGGACCTTAGTCCAAAGCTTCAGTTTATCTGCTCTCTGAAACAAACTGTTTTAGTTTCTTGCTCCCCTTAATCCATCTTTCATTTGATTAGCTGTCACTGGTAAAGCGTATCGCGGTGGAGCTATCCAGTCTTTAAGTCTGACGTCATTAGCCGTGCCAGAGCCCAAACTCTGCTGCAGGTCCCTAAGTCCAGCGATCACTGCGGCATCACTGAGAGTTAAAAACTGTCTAAATCCGTTCATCTTTATTAAAATGATCAGCGTTGTTGCTCTACCAGGTGTAACGATTAAGTTTAACTTCCAGGCATCCATGAAAACTGAATTTATGAAATTTAATGGAGTTCTAAGTTATCAGGAAGTTAGCTCGCTAGTTTGCATCTAAATATAATATACCATGTTCTGACTGAGAGATTTATGAAACAATTGAAGACAGGAAAGTAAACAGCAGTGACGTTTGTAGGGTTACTGAAGTTTGGCTTGATGGTTTGATGTGCTATGTGATCACTAGCGACACAGCTATGTGAGCATAATATAAACAGTGAAGCTGGAGGATGAACGCTAACTTTTTTCCACTCAAAAGTTAACGTGAGGGTTCCCGAAGGTCCGGGACAAATGCAATCACATGGCAGGATGCTGTAAACGGACTGAACTTCAGTCGGGAGAACAACTGAGATAATCCATCACACAATACGATCACTGACTGTTTTTAGGGGCTTGTTGAGATTAAATAAAACAAGATACAAAGCATTAGAATATGTAAAAAACACAAAAGCCTTATTAAACGCACAGTAGTTTGGGGCTGGAAGCAGGATTCACCACGTCATCACTTAAAGACCGGATTCCCACTGAGATGACCATACAAGTATATCCCCTCATTGTACCAGTGTGTACGCTCACTGACAACATCTTTAGGTACATCTGTTCACCCACTTCTTAACACAAATATCTAATCAGCCGATCAAATGGCAGCAATTTGATGCATTTAGGCATGTAGACATGGCCGAGGCGACCTGCTGAGGTTTAAGCTGAGAATCAGAATGTGCAGAAAGGTGGTTTTAAATTACTTTGAATGTTGTTCGTCTAAATATTTCAGAAACTTTTGATCCACTGGGATTTTTCCACACAATCATCTGTGGTTGCTGTCATCTCCGTATGGAGAAATAATTCCATAAAGTTGTCAAATCTATGCCATGAAGAATCAAGGCATTTCTGAAGGCACAAGAGGTCCTTCCTAGCAAGGTGTTTCTAACAAAGTGGATAGAGTGAGAAAATGGATTATAGGTCATCTTTAACATCATAAAGCAAATGTCTTGATGCATGCTCAATCATCCAGGTAAGTAAATCCCAAAAGGTTGATTCTGTCAATCGCTACAACACAGAGCAAACACCATCCCCACAGACAGAGCGGCCAGAGAAGCAGAAGAACATCACTTCAGGAAGGCTCTGAGTAAATGTGGTTATCCCAGCTGGACATTTGTCAAAGGTGCAAAGGCGCCTAAAGAAAGCTCCAGCTGATCCAGGAGAGAAGGACAACTGCTGCCTAAGCAAAAACCCTTAGTGATCCCTTATGTGTCAGGAGTATCGGAACAGTTGAGACGCATTTTTTTTCTAAACACTGCGTCTCCATGGCTTAAACTCCAAAACACACTGCGCCAAAAATTGGCCCAGCCCAAGGATCGGGTCCCCCGACACAAACGGAGTAATGTAGTGTACACTGTTAAGTGCCAGGAGGATTGCCATGATTTATACATAGGGGAATCCAACTAACCTCTGGCAAAGTGGATGGCACAACACAGAAGAGCTACCTCGTCAGGCCAGGACTCTGCAGTCTATTTCCACCTACAGGCCAGTGGACACTCTTTCAATGATCAGGATGTACACATCCTGGTCTGGGAGGAGCGCGGAGTCAAGGAGGCCATTTAAATAAGACGTCCAGATGAACAGAATCAACCCTTTGACATAAAGCACATAAACATCCTAAGAGTGAATGTTAGAAATCACTACTTGGTCGTGTGTGTGTGTGGGTGGTTCATTTGACTTGGAGTTCAAAGCCTGTGTCTGTTTTTTATAAACGGGTTTTGTTTTGTCAGTTATGAGAAACCATAAAAATAAATGCACTGAGTTTAATGTTCTCATTTAACTGGTAATAAGAAACATAATAATAATAATAATTAAGAAGCATACTGTGATTAGACTGATATAATATAATAAATATAAAGGAACATGCACAATAGGTAAACTGGAGTCTCTGTTGATGAAAGGTCCCCTCTAAAAAAATAAACAAAACCAAAACATGCTGCAATATCTATCGATTTGAAATCTATTATTTTAGCTATTTTTATTTTTTTTCCCCTCTTCAAGGAGTCATGGAGAGCGCAGTCCAACGAGGAAGATGATCCTCCCGAGTTCACCCCTCCTCCTCCTCTTCCTCCTCCCAGAGACCCTCAGAATGGCAAAGCAGAGCCGTCCTTTTTCCCTGAAGAGATCATCCGAGCAACAGAGACCTACAGTCTGGGGTAATCATCCAGATCACGTTTTGATTGAGTTTATCTAATATTGTTAGGAAAACAGGATCGTGTGTCAGTGTTGATTCTAAAGCTCATAGCTCCGTGGAGCAGAAAGGCCAGGAAACATAATTAAATAGAGTGCAGTTTGAAATATGAGGTGTTGAATTCCTAAAATTAAATACACGGCTTTTAAGTATTTAACAGACACTACAGAAAGCTCTCTGTTGATTCGTGATCGACTTGCTCCATCCGAGGGAAGCATTTCACCAGTGGGTGTGTTAAGATGCCACAGGTGTGTGCTGATGCTTACAGGGCCTACAGCCTACGTACAACCTTGCAGATTGTTGTCTAGCTGTAGCTGTTTACTCTCAGCAGGGGGCAGTGTCACAAACAACTGCTCTGTGGACTACTCTCTAACAAAGGGTTTTAAAACCAATGAAAATTGTCCAGTGCAGCCTCCGTTTGTGCTTTTCATGCCACCCTTTTATCACTTGTTTTATTTGGCCCTTCTCGCTCTATGATGTTAACTCTTCCTGTTCAGGCCTACTTATCAATCTATAAGCATGCGACCTATGCACACCATCATCCCTGTACACCTACTTTTTTTTTTTTTTTTGGTTGTTGTTGTTTTTACACAAGCACATCTGTGTAGGTTGCATACCCAAAATCCTTCACACTGCATTTCCAACTGTGCAAAAACTCTGTATCATGAATCAAGATTAGTCTTGATACTTGATATCTTGGTTAAATAAATTTTACCCAGGCTCAGTGCACCATCTTGTGGCACATGTGGTATTACAGAAAGGTACAGCGTGGCCCTTTTTCACGTAGAGTTAAAAATGATATCTTTTCAATACAATACTTTGTGAATACAAGGTCACAGTGATTATTTCTTCACATTCTGTTGTGAATTTGTAATTTTGAAAAGGTTTCGTAAACATTTTAAATACATAAATTTAGAATAAGTACCACTAATCAAAAGGATGTTTTGCTCACAGTGATTCTTTGTACATATGCTGACCTCATTACTCGAAATTTCATTCATATTTGAAAAGAATGAAATCCTTATGCCCCACGTAACTGATTGGACTTTATGAGGTCAAAAAAAGGTAAAGTTAGTACGTTGTTGTGTTTTTGTTTGTTTGTTGTTTTTGTGTTTGTTCTTTTCTCTCAAAAACTAATCTTCCAATTTCAGCTAGCAAGGAAGTCCATGTTTCTGTGGAAAAAAAAGAAGTAAAAAAAAAAAGAATTATTTTCTCATCTGAACCTTCGTTGTTTCTCATTCAGCTCCTCAGAAAAAGTTCGAAAAAGGATGCCAGCTGCTGACTCCCAGCCTGCTGCTGACCTCCAGCACGCTTGTGACGGTGTTGCTCAGTCCGACGGCCATTTGGAGATCCACGATGATACCTCCTTTCCGAACAAATCTGAGCAGCAGCCAAAGGAAAACTCTCCCATGCCGGGGACTTGGTCCCCACTACTAACCAAAGTGTGCCTGTGCACAGCGCTGGCTCTCAGTGCTTTCGCCTGCTATCGAGCCTATTTCCACTGATGCCCTTCTTCCCCGTCTCTCCACTGACGTTGCAAAGTGGACAAGGCTGACCAATCAGCCCGCTTTGACTCTGCTAGGGGGTGGATTGTTTGGTCTTCAGCAGATTCACTTCCACTGGTTTTAATTTTATAAATGCCGTGCGAGTGGTTGGCTGGCTGCCGACCTTATGACCGACCCAAACTTTCTTTCTGCGTATCATCTTGGATGCTCAGGGCCTCAGTTTTTCAGGTGTCACATCCCAAATAATGTGTGCTGGCTTAAACGCAGACTCAGAGGGCTCTGCTGGTCTGTGAATCAGGATGAATGACCTATCAGCCCATTTTTTGTCATGAGTCTCTTCTCTTATTTACCAAACGACACGTGAATGTGTTCTTCCATGTTATTAGTAAATCATGAGCCCGTTAGGATTTTGCTTTCTTTTCTTTCTTCTTTTGGTCAAACAAACAGATCAGAAATCATAGAACCAGATTTATGACCAGCCTGTCTGAAAATATGCCAGTGTGGGAGAAACCTTATTTGTTTTGTTTGTTTGTTCCTTTGCTGTTGGTCAACATGGATCCCAAGAGTAAAATGAAATCCAGAGCATGTTGGGGTGGGCCTTGAATTGTTATGTGACTCCACTAATAGCCTGCAGGTTGAGTACATACAATATATGTGTTTGTGTGTATATGTACATTTGTGTGAGTGGTAGTTTTTAAATTCTACCCGGTGAAAAATATTAATATAACATTTACAGGACATCAAATGTGAGATGTAGACCGGGTTCTCTCCTGGTATGTGACTCTTTTTTTTTTCTCTCTCTCCGTGGTAGCCCAAAAGTGACACAGGAGGAGGGGAAAAAACAACAACAACAACAACAAAACAAGGTAGAGTGACGTGTCTCACTCTGTATTTGTAACGTCTGAGTGATTTCAACAGCTTGAGAACTTTTAGAAGGTTATAAACATTGGGCTTTAGTTCTAGTATCGCTCACAGTGGATAAAATGCGTAACATAACCGAAACAGAGTTGATTCACATTGTAAAATAAGTGAATGTGTGTTCAGTTGGTGGAGTGCCAGCTTAAAGACCGGAGATGCAAAGTAGCCAACGTCCATCTCTTTTCTCCAGCAATACAAATACTCAGCAATGTGTCGCCCTTTACTAACTCTCGAGTTTGAACGGGGAACCAGGGACTTTGAACAAACCAAAAATCAAACACCAGCACAGGGATGAAAATAATACACTGTAGTGATGATCCATTGTATCTTGTCGTGGCCCTGAGCTGGCGATATTGTTTTGTATGATTATTATTTCTTTTAGCATGCTGCATTTGTGAATCAAAAGGTTTATCCTAAGAAGAGATTAGTTAAGCTGCTAGCGTTCGTTTACCTTTGGGACTCGATAGCTGTACCTTTCTTTAGAATGTATAATTCTGTATTAGATACAGCATACAACAGAATTGAGTATACCCCTGCGAACTTTTTTTTAATGTTAAATTTGTTATTATTACTTTACTATTAGTTTGAATGCCGTTAGAGTTGTTACGTTACAAAACAAAAGACGCTTCACAGTAGAAACTCTGTGCAAAAGAAGTAAGCACACCTTTGACACATACCCGACACAGTCGCATCCGAATGCTTGGTTTTTGGGCTCTGGTGCGTATGTGGGGGAAAGGACATTAGCTGTGTTGTGATTTCTGCTACATTTCTGTGTGAAATGATCACTTGGAGAGAAATCAACAGGTGGTCTGTTCTCTTGTGTCGCTGCTCGTGAAGTGAAAGTTGGGCCGAGTCTAGAAAGGGTAAGGTGACCGTGACGAGCAAGGAAGATTCCAGTGGATGTTTATCCGATTGAACATTAAACGACCTTTAACCTGACAGTTCTCTATTTGCTGCTCAGTCACATTTTAATTGGTTACCATTGCACTGAGTTTTTCATTTGCGGTGCTTTAACTATAGCTGGTTTTGTCTCTTTCACATGAGCTGACATTTAGGTGATATTAAAGAGTGGTGTACTCATTTCTTTTTATACTGTACATATATTTTAAATCAGGTTTCAGTGTGCTGAGTTGGGGTTTTTTTTTCTGCTTTAGCGAGGGATTAAATCTCAGCACCTGTGCAGCCGTTGCACCAGGTTTTCCCGTTTTTTCTATTCTTATGCTGAGCTCAAAAACATGTATTTTTTTATTTACATTTGTTATTTTCCTTTTTAAATAAAAGAGAAAAAAAAGCACAGTTGCTGTTGATTTGTCCTGATTCACACCTAATCTTGTTTTCAGTCCTGAAATGTCTCATTGTATTTATATTTTGGACAAATAATCGCTGTGAGCTGAGAACTATGAGTCCTCTGAGGTTTCCTGCTTGTTGGATTGCTGTTGGGGATGGGGATGATTTCAGAATCACTGGAAAAAATGAAAATATGCACTCACTGACCACTTCACTAGCTGTACCTGTTCAACTGCTCGTTAACAGCAACTCAACGGGTTTAGGCAAATGGGTATGGCCAAGGCCACTTGCTGAAATTCAGACTGAGCATGAAAGTGGAGAAGAGAGCTGATTTAAGTGACTGGTGCCATACGCTGCTCAGAGTATTTCAGAACCTGCGGCTCTGCTGGGATTTCCCCCACATAACCATCTTTTGGGTTTACAGAGAATGCTCTGAAAACGAGAAACTGCCCAGTGTGTGTCAGCTCTGAGTGAAAATGAAGATAAAACTTTGCATGGATTCATTAGATAAATTACAGCTATTGCACAATTTAAAAGAAAAAAAAAAAGATTTTGGTGGGGTTAGTTGGGAGGGACTCGCTAATTTTTCATACGATGACCCTATTTATAAGGTTCTGCATAACAGAGGAGACTAAGAAAAATTTCATAGCTTTATTAACTCTCAAAGAGCCCGTCATGTTTTTCAGACGTAATTTAATCCTCCAGAAAAGAAAAGATTTTACTGACTTAAAGTGGGGGTATTTTTGTAGTAATATTGTACTTCTTTTACTGGTTCTGTTTGTTTCTTATACGGTTCAATTTATCTATGACAGAAATTCAAAAATATTCAGATAATAAAGTAACAAACTGTGCAGTTTTATTGTAAAAATAAAACCATTACATTTTTGCTCCTCAGTAGTTGTTATGCAAACTTTATGCGAACTTATTTTGAGCAGCCACGTATCCTGCAGTCATAAAATTTAGTGGAAGGAAGAATCAGATAACAGACAATGCATAAAATGGGGCAGTTTTGCTTTTCCAGTTATGATACACCCCCTGATGTTTCTACTTAAATATGCTTGTAGAAAAATGGTTCTGGCTTTAGAGCGTGACACTTGGAGGGAGTGTACAATTGATTTGGTTCTGGTTTTAAGAGCTTAAATATGTTTTTCATGTGGATATCTCCTGTACTTAAGACATTATATGTCAAAATAAAAAGCAAAAAGGTTGTGTACTTTCAAGGGGAAATCTTGCGTGGTTTTATTTAATATTTAACTTTTCTGAGATCTGAGTTTTTATGCCATGAGCCGTGCAGTACTGACCAGCCTCTGCTTGTCTTCACCAGTAGGTGGCTCTGTGGGACTGTGATCCTCACCTGTTTTCGATGTGAAGCGTGGCTGTGTTTGTTACGGCCCACTCTTTCCTGTTGTCTGTATGATATCGGTGTTTGCTCATCAATTATGTTTGTATTTACAGCGGTGGAGAGCCTGGAGTAAACCAGTTTGCAGACACTGCCTTCAGACTTCACAGTGACTGTGAGGAAGGACGTCACATTAATTTTCTTTTTGTCTTCAAACTTTTCCCCATCTTTTACAAACTGGTTTTAATGAAAATGTTCCCTATCTTTAAAGTTTAATTTTCATTATTTAATCTGAGAGATCCCCACAGATAAAACCACAATGCTGTACAGTTTGTGATTAGCAAACTTTGCGGTTGATAAATAACGAGATTTTGCTCCTGCTAGTGTAAAAGCTTTAACAACAATAACCATCAAACTTTAAAGTTAGGTTAAACATGTCCAGAGATGCATGCGTTTCTTGAGTAAACTTCACCACAGGGGTGTAGCGCAGATGATTTGGCAACAGTCTTGGCTAGAACTTCCTGTTTGGGAAGTTAAGACACAGGCACTGTGCTGTACTTGGTGTACAAGAATGCATTTTAAACAGTGAGTGAGTAATAGCACTCCCAACCACCGCTCTGCTGACGTCAAGGCAAAGAACACGCACCACTAGGAAAACTACAATCAAGGTGTGACCGGAAGTCCTAAAACCACAAATGTTTCAACTGAAACTACAATCTTTCTAATCTGACTGCGCTGCTGTGACTCATGCACTGTTTGTGGTGAAAATGAATTCTTATTTTATTATTAGACATGTGTTAAATGTCACTTTGATTGTGTTTCCTATCTATATATGTCATCTCGGCCTACATTTTCTGATGTTTTTACTTTAGTGAGAAACTTAAAGAAAAAAATGGAGGAAGACAGACGGGCTTAAATAAATGTCAGAGGTGCACTGTGTTATCTCTCTGCTTCCTTACTCAGCCTAATTTTCACAATGCTGACTCCACATTCACAGCTGACCAAAAAAAGATATCAGCCCTGCCCGGCTAACTCTTTCAGCATATGTCCTCAGTTTAGTTATTAACCTGGAACTTCCCAATAGCTGGCCAGCTGTGAGGGTGGGTGGGGCAATGGCTGACTGGAAGTCTCTCTTGTAGCCTGCAGTTCATTTTCACAGGGAGCCGAGCAGGGATCAGGAAATTCCTGAATAAGAGGAGAGTCAGATCTTTCCAAGAGTGACTCTGCAGAAGTCTGAGTCACCACACTCGGCAGCGCTGTACAATGGGAGTTCAATACCACAACGTGTGAGTACACTGTCATCAGGTGTATCATGTCTATTCATGCCCTTATTATTTCAAAACTCCAAAAACCCAGGAGAGTGAATAAGACAAAGCTTTCAGTGTTAACTTGTCTTGAAAGGTAACTTGGCTCAAATTTCCACAACATTTAAGATGCAAATAGTCACGATCCCTTTTCGGGCTTTAAAAACAAGTTGTTTTTTTTTTAAAAAAAAAGAAAAATCACAGTTAAAGCACAGGTGTCAAATTCAGTTTCTCTGAAGAGGCCACACCAGGAAATGAAAAGCATAGCAAGGGCCATACATATAGAGTTTAATGACTGATAATTTATGCTTCATATAGCCTTCTCATGTACACTTTGGACCACATAAAGGCCTCAATCAGCCCACATAAAAGTCTTTTAGACTTTATAAAGTTGTGTGTTTAAACTATAAGAAGGCTACCACACAACCAGCCCACAGCAACCTGTTTCACAAACCTGACAGACAGCTACCTGCCCTATGGGTCACTTAAAAAGACACCTTCATGTCAAAGCAAAGTAGCGGATCTTTCATTCTGTTCCCGTTCATATGCCCGCAAGTCTCACCGAGCCCGTTTTACAGGACTCAACATGATAGCACAGTCGTTCACCAGAACGTCTCGACTTTCCATCTGCGATACACAGTTTAGGCATGGAACCAGCTGGATGTAGGAATAGAACTTCCCACTCTGAGATTTAGCTGGAAGACTAATTTTTTTGCTGTAAATGCCTTTTTTTTTTTCATTTAAACATCAAAATTCTTCTTCTTTCAACTGGTTCCTTAATGACACAATTTTCTCTTAAAACAGAAACTGCCTCATGGCTAATGCCTAAACTGGCCTCTTTTCACATGACCTACTCAGTCTCATACCTCAGCTGCCTTTTGGTTGGACTGTGTGTTACCTTGTTAGCTGTCAGGTGTTATGAAGGTGCGGCTCTTTGTTTAATTTGGTGTGCACACCACAGCTATAAGCGGGCCAGATTAAAATTTGCAAAGGGCCAGATTTGGCT